AAAAAAAACTCTTATAGAGAAACAAGCAAGGAATACCATGAAATCATTCTAATTGTTCAAACAAACAAAGGAAAAAAAAAAATCGCTTTTCATCAGTCTCTTTCGAGCCATTGCTGTCTAGTTTACATATGAGAATGCCTCACTAAAGCGATGAGGAACAAGCACACACAGAAACACAAACAGAAAAAAAAAAAATAATACTTACAGTGTGAAAGACTATTCTACACCTTTAAATAATAACTCATGATGGACTATCTGCAGCCGGCTTTAAAGATAGACTACCACTAACATTTGCATTTCCTGAACGACGTTTTTCGCTTTGTAATGAAATTGCTTTGGACCCTCGAGACTTTATCTTCGTCCCTTGTCCATCTAGAGAAAACCCTGTTGAACCAGAAAGAAAAGATTCTACTTTCCCTTCCATTTCCTTCAGTGCTTCTGAAAAGTTAAACGTAAAGTAAATAGGATTATTACTCTTAGCAAAACGACTAAATCTTTCCATTTGACTTGCATCTTCATTACCAGATAAACTATGGTGATTCTGTTTCTTTACCTTACCTTCTCCCTCTTCTTTCTCTGAACGCACGGATGTTTTCCAGTCATGTGGTAGAAGAGTAAAAGCAGCGGAAGTTTTTTTACTAGACGGAACAGTTCCACTACTACTACTACCACTACTTTTACCATCGAGTATTGTTCCAGAACAGAGAGGTTCAAGGGTTGTTAATGCGGTATTTTCTTCCGTAGTTAATGTGTGTTTACCTGCACGCATTACCACTATTACTATATCCGGTTTTCCTGCTGTAATAGAAGCTGCAAGACTACTAGCATTAGTAGTAACAATTGTACGAAATGTCCTACGTGAGGTTAGAGAGGAGGAAGTAAAAACATTCTCTACTTCTCTACCAGCATCTCTATTACCTGCTGTATCCCCTTTACCTCCATCAAAGATGTGAATAAGTACAGATGTATAAGACTTCTCTAAGGAAGAAGATATAGATTGACTCATTCGACGATCTAGAGATTTAGAAGCTTTAAGAACTGAAGAGGAAATACTTTTATCAGTTGAAAAACGTCTATAATTTTTCGTCAAGGTAACATTTAAAAGATCCACAACATTTTTACTTATTGAGGAACTACGAAGAGCCTTGGAAGCAGCACCTGCCATCAACATGTAACTAAACGAAGCAACTCCTTCAGATAAAACATTTTCTTCTTGAAGTGAATCCAGTGTAGATCGCATATTCATCTCTACTGTACAACAATTAGATTTCAATTCTGTTAATTTACGATCTAATTCTTGTAATTCAACTAATAATGCTTCAGCTGCTCGTTGACGTTCTTTTTCACGATGCATTGGAAGTGTTTTATGATAAGAAGGAGAAAATTGATTTTTTATAGTGTTTTGAAGAATTTTAACACCTGATCCTTCCTCCATATCTAAAGCTCCTTCTTTTAATGCACTAGAGATAGCATTACCTTGCATAACACCAGAAGCACCAGCTTTAAGCCAAACTCCAATAGAAGCGTTATCAAATATATCATTATCTCTAATAACGGAATCAGAACCTTTTGCAACTACAAGACCAATATCACCATCAAATAATGTATTCTTAGATACTGTAGCTATAGATGCTCCATCATGTGGATTTCTAGGACAAATAATAGTCATATTAGTTTTACAGTTAAATACAATATTACCTTCAATACGGGCACCTCCAGCAACAAAAATACCATCACTTTCACAAGAATGAACTTTATTTTCTGATATTAAAGCATCAAATGTAGTTCTCTCTATTGTTGGTATAAGATCAAAACCTTTATATTCATTTGGATTTTCAATTAATATACCAGTAGGAGTTCCAGAAACTTCATTATCTGTAAAAACGCCACCATATGTTAATATTCCACAATCTTTAGCATTCATTATGCGATTACCTGAAAAAAGAGTATGACAATATGGAGCTGCAAGAACACCTCGAGTACTATCTAAAATCCAATTTTTTTCTAATTCTCCCCATGCACCTGGATCTGTTTTAATGCCTGTTTTATATCCACGAATGATATTACGTACTAGTCGAACACGGGTACCTTTATGCATATAGATAGCCACATCAGAGATACCAGATGAAAGGAAAGTATTATTCGAAAATAATGCCATACCATCTTTATTACCATGTATACAACCAGTTAGGGTATTTTCTTTAAAAATAGCAAAACCACTATCTGTTGAAATAATATCTCCATGATTGTCTGGATTATTAACATTTCCTGCAAAGAAACAATTATCGAATATGGTACCTTCCATTTCACTTTCAACATCACTTAATCGTCTAGGTGGAGCTTTAGAGGTATTTTGTGTTGCAATATTTCCACTACGCACAAATACACCAGCTACATTATTCTCAGTGAAAAGACATGATGTAAATCGAATTCCAAGAGTTGATGATTTCATACATTCAGCAAAACCACGAGCAACATCCACAGCAATATCATTAGCTTTAAATAGACAATGTTCCACTAATCCCTCACCACCAGAGCTAACCAGTACACCACATGGCAAGATACCATTATCCTCACTACCTTCACTACAATAAACGTTATTCTCTGGCACAAGTTCAACCTCAAAGTATGGAATACCATGTAATAATAATTTACCTTCATTTGGGTATATAAATTTTTTCTTTGTAGCTATATCTAAACCTAATCGTCTATTCATAGCAAAAACACAATTTTTTACATTTGGTCGTGTTTTTTCCTCAATAATTTCCATTCCTGATCGAAAATTTTCTTCAAATACATTACGTAATAAAGTAGGAGCTGCACCACCACACACCAATAGTCCAATATAATTCCTGAAAAAACGATTTCCTTCTACAATAACAGAACTACTTCCTTCTGTACCTGCTTCATTATCAATAATAACCGGGATATAATTATCCTTAAATATATTTTTGCTTAATTCTGCTCTAACAGTTGGACCATTAATAAAGAATGCAACAGTTCCATTCATATGATTTGTAAATTCATTTTCAAGAAGTAGTGGTGATGGTGCTCCACCTCCTTCAATTAAGATGGAATGTTGTTTAGGTGCACAAAAACGATTAGAATAAATACGGGTAGTTATACCTATAGACTCTTGACGAAGTTTTTCTTCTTCTGTTATAGTACTTTCTGGTAAAACCAGACGAACGGATATATTATTATCTTCAAATATATTTCCATTTCCGATAGTAGCAGAAGCTAAATGTCCTTCAACAAGAATAGCAGTTTCTAATATATTAAGAAAAGCATTTTGACGTAAACGAAGAGAGTTTTGACCAACAAGACCTATTACATGAATACCTTTAGCCGCATCTCTAAAACGATTATTTTCAATAATAAATACACCAGGTGGGGCAGTCATTGTAAGAGAAGCAAATAATGGAATTCTTAAAAGAGCTTGTGAGGAACACATAGATGCATTTGGTTGTCGTAACGTATCAATATGAAGTAATGTTCGTATTTCATCTCCTGTAATAGCAACATAACGAGAAGTAACTTCTATCTGTTCTATTCGATTCTTATATACTTCATTACCTGAAATTTTAGCATGACGTAACATTGGTTCTTGTGGAACTAAGGTAAATAATAATTTTGGCTGTGTTATTTCTTTTTTAAGTGTAAATTTAACACATAAATCATCATATTCCCTACCTGATTCTTCTAATCTTAACTTTGATGAAACCACTGTTCCACAGAAAACCTCAACTACATGTTGACATAAAATCCCCATAGAAAGATTTTCAAAGATATGATTTTCCTCCATAGTTAAACTATGCTCTATTTCCCCTTCTCGTATATATATAGGTGTTGGATTAGCTGTTGTGGGACGTGGAACAGGGGCGTTAGAAGTTTCTACATTTAATTCTACACTTTTCTTTTTCTTACTTGTAGTAGAAGATTTACGAGATTTTGCATCAGAGTTGGTATTAGAGGGCTTTCGTAACTTTGGTTGACGTGATATTCTTCTTTTCGTACTGTTATTCTCACTAATGGTATCTAATCCATCTGACTCCTTTAATGTGGTATCAGATTCCTCAAAAGAATCTAACGCAGAAGCCTTCATAACATTATAAAGTTGAATAACAACTCCGTATTCATTTTTTGAGATATTATTCCCTCGTAAAGATGCCGGTCTAAAAATATTTGGAGTGCTTCGATGTACATGATGGAATATGTTCATATTTTCAATTAATGCTTTTGTTGCTTTTGTATCCTTTGTATGTGCTGTTGTGGTTGTCTTTGAGGGTGTTGTTCGTGTCTCTTTCCCTTTTGGATGTGTTGCATGTCCCTTCCCCTGATGCTGATACTGCTGTTGAGGTTCGTCTTGTTCCTGTGGGAATGTGATGGCGGCTGTGTTAAAGAAACACCATGGTGTCTGCGCCTCACCCCCCTCCGTCTTTTTCGCTTCCTTTCTGCTGAGGTCCATGAGGGTGTCGGCGGCGGGGACGGCGGGGAATCCGCCGCGGGGCGGGATGGCGAAGTGGACGGCGTGGCGGTGGTGGTGGCGGAGGCCGCGGGAGACGAGGACGCCGGCGCCGCGGTGCCCCCCGACGGCATTCCCCCGCAGCTCCGTCCCGCTGCCGAGCACCACCCACGCCCCCACCCCGCCGTCCACCGCCCAGCCGCGGTCGTAGCCGTCAAGCCCCACCGCCGGGAAGACCGCCGTGGCGAGCGAGAGGGCCGCCGAGGAGGCCGCCACCAACTCGCACAGCAGCCGCAGTCCACACGCGACAATTTCCGCGTACTGCGAGAGGAGATCCGACACCCCCGCATACACCGAAGAGAGGGACTCCGACGCCGTGAAGGTGGACGGGGAAAATGGAATGGCAGGGTCAGTGAAGGGAAGTCCATGGAAAGAACGGGCATCATGAGGACTACCTTCAGGACGACAGAAACCATTATTACATCGTATAACACCAGATGTAAAGGTTCCAAGAGAACCTTTAGCACAATAAATTCCAGCTATTCCATTATCTGTTAGTTCACATCCAAAACACATGGCTCTTGCATTAAATCGTAATAAAATTCCAAAGAAGGTATTATTTTGAATACGATTCCCAAGTAAAAATGGATGACAACAACTTCCTACTACCACTCCAATAGAACAGTTACTAATTGTATTTTCAACAAAACTTACTTGTCGTTTCATACGTTCTTCATGATCTTCCTTCATATTAAGTACAATAGAAGTCCCTAATGTTTCTTCTACAGAAGTACGGTGAGTTACCCCAGATTGTTGTTTCGCAGGTGAAGGTCGAGTAGGACTTTGATGAGAAAGTGATAGTGATACAGAGAGACCTTGTGATATAGGATGAGTCAAGGGATGTGGTTCCACTAAAGTCTCAAGAGAGGTCATATGCTGTGATGCAATTTCTGCTTGATCCGCACTTTCATATAATTCATGACAAATACCAAAATGACGATTCTGTCGAATAATATTTTTTTGAAATTTCGGAAATAATAAAGTACCTGGAATATTAAAAAGACCTTCTGCTCGTTTGTAACGTTTAGATTCTTCAATAGAAGAGTAACGTAATGGATAACCACTTGGAACAGTTAATACAAGAATTCCATGTAATGCATTATGTTCAATAACACAATCTTCAAATATTGGTGCAGAAGAAACAAATCCACTTTGTACAAATTCTTCTTGACGCATAGAAGAAGAAATAGGTGGACAAGTATACACTATAACACCTACAGCACAGTGATTTACATTAATTCCTGTAAATGTACCTTTACCACCTGCATCTACTAATACACCACTAATATTACATTTCTCAATGATATTATCTTTTTTAAATTCAGGATTAGCGCGATCACATATGTATACTCCTACACCACTACAACCAGAAATATTATTCTCTGTGAAACAACCACGACCTCCACTTTCTGCGTAAACACCATCAAAACAATCATGAATATTATTTCCTTCTATAGAATAAATAGTAGCATTATTTCCAAGATAAATTCCAATATTAGATTCATATACATCATTTAATCCAATAGTAATAGCATTCTCAGCAATACTAATAACTGCAATATTAGAACGTTTATGTTGAAAAATACGATTTTTGCGTATAATAGCAGTTCCACCACCAGCATTTCTTTGAGATATTTTCCATCTACTTTGTCCAGTAGTTTTTCCAAGTTTTTCTTCTACTCGTTTTGCACTATATCCAACATCTGCCATAATACCATATAATTCATTATTTGAAATATCATTATCTTCTAATATACCACAAGAACCTCCTTCTACTAAAACTCCACATGTAGAATTTGCATATATTTTATTTTGTCGTATTTCTGCTGGAGCCAATTTAGCACTTGCACGAAGTTCACTCTCTTTTCTAGCAATAATAGAACGACGTGCTTTTTGAGTTGTAGCCTTTTCATTATTAGATGATGAGGTTGCAGCTGTTGTACCACCTGCGAAACTAAGTTCCACCTCTAATTCTGCAATTCCTAATGTAGAACCTAATTGAATTCCAACATCATTTTCAAAAAAAATATTTTCATGCACAGTTCCACGTCCTTCTTCTGCCAAAAGAAGACCACTAAGAAAACATTTAGAGACACGGTTTCCTTGTAAGATTGGATCACCATTTAATTGAATAATAATACCAGAACTATAACATGAATTAATATTATTATCTCTAAAAGTACCATGACCACCATCAGAAATAATAACACCAACTGCTTCTGATGAAATCGTATTTTTTATAAATTGAGGATTGGATTTACCAATAACATAGACACCAGCTTGTTTATTCTGATAAATAGAGTTACTAATAAATTGTCCTCCTCCCTCACGACCACAAATAACTCCAGCTCCACTAACTGAAGAACAAATAGTATTACTGGTAAAAACAGGTTCACTAAAACGATCCAATACAATAACATTGCCTATAGCATTTTCAGAAATAAAATTATGCTCAATTTTTCCAAAACCTTCTGCAAGAACAGCTACACCTCCAGATTGTCCTCTATGAATGTGATTATTACGAACAACAGGTGAACCACCTTCTCGAATAAGAAAATTACAACTCCCACTTTGTGCAATTTCATTAGAAACAAATGTACCAAGTCCATTATTTCCAACAACAACACCATATCGTGCACTATTAATAATTTTATTAGAAATAACATAAGGATCAGCATCTAATTCTGCTATTATTCCTTGTTCATTATTTGATATCGTGTTATCTATTACAGTTCCTCCACTACACGAATCAAAACGAAGACCAGCACTAGGACCTGAAATAAAATTATTACTTGCTATAATTGGTACAGAATGTTCACCTATTAATATTTGAGCTACACGATTGGAAACAAATTTATTCATAAGAATCACAGGTTTACTTCCTCCTACAACGCTTATACCTATTTGGTGACTTTGTTGAATGGCATTACCTGTTATAATAGTACTACTACCTCCAGTTAAATTAATACCACTCATATTATTTCCAAGGAAAACATTTCCCATAACTATTCCACGTGATAAATTTTGAATTTCAACACCATGTTCTGCATTGTTCGTTATTTCATTCCCCATTATAAGAGGATTGGCAAAATTATCAAGAAAAATACCAGCTCCTTTAGATTGATCAAATTTACAACCTATAACTAAAGGATGTGCCCCACTACCTACCACAATTGCAGTTGCCCCACAGGCAATAAAATCACAATCTTCTACTAATCCATAACCGTCATTACCAAATCGAACAGCACAGAAACCACAAGAAGAAAATCTTGTATCTAATATATCAACACCTTTATTACCTCGAAGTTTTAAAAGTTGTAAAGCTGCATCTGAAGAATTCACAGAAAGTAAAGAAATATCAAGAGTTTCTTGTATCATCTCTCCTAATACATTTAATGCACCAGATGCACGATTTCCATTTACTGTATCATGTGATCGGAAATATACAGGATATGCACCACAGACTAATTTAGCCAAAGATCGTATTTGTTCCTTTAATTTATTAAGTTCTATGGGTTTACCATGTACAGGAATAGATATACTTTCTTTTTTTGAACGTTCAGAGGGTAAATTTTCTCCATCTATTTTTGGTAATTTTTCCAACCAATTAAACGAGGTACGTACCGAAGGAAGCTCTTGAGAGAGAAGACTTTGTTGATCTTCAATAAAAGCAAGAGAATTATTTCGCAGGCATTGAACATCTATACCAATAAGACATCGATCAATTAAATTACCTCCTGAAATACGAAGATTTTGTGTTTTAGATTCTGAAATAAAATTTCTCTCATCTACAATAGCAAGAATACCACAAATCTTTTGATTATAAATACCATTTCCTTCTAAAGAGGCAGATCCGGCAAATTCAAATTTAAATCCAATATTTCCTTGTAATAACTCATTATATGAAAAGACAGGAGCAGCTCCACGTGAAATTATCACACATACAGGAGGTCCTGCAATACCATCTACAGACCATTCACGGTCTTTTGGTTTAAAAACATCAGGAGTAACATAAATATGACATTTTGTTACTGTAACTTTACGACAAGCAAGATTTTCATTTGGGGTACTATCATCAACGTAACTATTAGTTGCCCGAACAACAATAACATTACCTCCATTTGAAGGTTGACGAAGGGTACAATCTCTTATATTAACAACACCTTTAGTATCAATATCCGCACATGCAATATGATGTGTATTAATTGTACAGTTCATCATTTCCACAGATGCTGTACCATTCACTTGAAGCCCATAACCATTGTAACTCTCTTCAATCGTACAATGTTCAAAATGAGGCCTAGCAAACCCTCCAAGTAAAACAGAATTCATTTTACAACGAAAAAAAACAGCCTTTCCATTTTGTAAGACTACAGAAGATTCCAGTTTGGCTTTTCCTTTTGAAATAAATTCCACATGTTCAAAATAGGCTTCCACATCCTGCGTTATCGTCACACAGGTTCCGCGGGATACAATACATGGATCCTCCCCCTCTGCAGCCACAATCTCAACAGGCATTGAAATCGAAAGCGTCTCAAAGTACTCCCCAGCCAAGAGCTCAATTCTATCATAGGGCTTTGCAATAGCGAGAGCTCCGGCAATGGAGCGGCGGGAGGATACTTTTGAGCGGCTGTTCACGACAATCGTCCGCACCTTCTTTTTCTGCCACCCACTAAATCGCTCCTCCACCACGTGGCCATCCGTCAACATCCTTCCCCTATTATTCTAATAAGCGCGGGGCTATTGAATTTAACACAAAGAAAGAAAAGCAGGAAGAAGAGGAAGAAAAAACCATTAATGAAAAACAAAAGAAACAGAAAAAAAAATCAAATAGACTATAAAAGAAAACAGAAAGGTTATTCCTTCCTCTTTATGAAAGCAGAATAAAATATATATATATATATATATATACACGTAAAGTAATAGAAGCAAAAAGGCAGCACAATAAATAAACAATAAAACTAATATGTTTTTCCCTTCCGTCCTTAATCCTCAACAGTTGGCATGTAGATACCAACTAATATTTACCATTACCTCAAGAAAGATGGGCATCAACAAACCATTCTTTTATATTCTTCTATTTGGACAGCATTGCCGCAAGCTTTCCCTGGCGGTTGAGCTTCTCCACATCACTGCATCCACCAACAAATTCTCCATTGATGAAGATAGCGGGGACAGTCTCGTGGTTGTACCTTTTCTTGATCTCCTCTCGAAGAGCGTTACCCTCGCTCATCCTGTCCACGTGGTACACCTTCAAATCGTTCGTCAAGGGCTGCAGCACCTTTTGGGCGCGAATGCCATACGGGCAAGTAACCCATGCAAACATCACCACCTTATTGGCAGACTTGAGATCATCGAGAAAAACCATTTTATAAAGATTAAGTTTGGTTGCTTTTTCTTGATAGACTTTCTGGTAGATCTAGTGGGAGTTATTCAGTAATTAGATTCAAGTATAAAAACAAAAGAAGAAGAAGTTTGAAAACAAGGTATCAGTACCATCGAAAATAAGTAGCATCAATTAGGGTCTCACAGCAAATGAGAGACAAAAAAATACAAAAAAGAGAGCCTCTTGTACTGTTATGTGATCCTTCCTTCTGTCGTTCATTCCGTGTAGGGAGTAGCTACAGCAATTCCCTGATATTTTTCCACTTTATGAAAGAAGGAGAAAAAAATAGATGTGTAGGAAAAACGAAAAATAGCTGCAGAATCAATAAATAATAAGTCTTATTTGTTTCTTTTTCCCCAGTCCCTCGTTTTTTTCTCTTCCGTTCTTTATCCCCAACAGTTGGCATGTAGATACCAACTGATATTTACCATTACCCTACGTTCGATGTACATCGACCATCCGTTTTTCTTTTTTCTTTTTGATGTTATTGCTTTCCCTTTCTACGCCAGCATTGTCGCGAGCTTTCCCTGGCGATTGAGTTCCTCCACATCACTGCATCCACCAACAAATTCTCCATTGATGAAGATGGCGGGGACAGTCTCGTGGTTGTACGTCTTCTTGATCTCCTCTCGCAGAGCGTTGCCCTCGGGCATCTCATCCACGTGGTACACCTTCACGTCGTTCGTCAAGGGCTGCAGCACCTTTTGGGCGCGAACGCAGTATGGGCAGGTGACCCATGAAAACATCACCACCTTATTGGCAGACTTGAGAGCAGCGAGAGAAGCCATTTTATTAGGTTTGGTTGCTTTTTGTTAATAAGATTACTGGTAGATCTAGTGGGA